CGCGTCCAAAGATGGAAAACTCTTGGTAAACTTTCTACAAGATAAATTAGTACTGAAATTAACCGAAATGAGCCTATCACAAGACATGGTATTGCATTTATATTACCTAAATACATTTTTTAATCATAATTTGTTGATAACAAGTCCAATCTTTAATACATTTTTTACACGTCATTCGGAATCTAAACTTTTGTTCATATTTCTAGGAGTTGTATACCTATCTGGTGAACATGCATTTCCACTTGTGAATTTTAGATTCCAGATTACGGACGTCTACAGAGGTTAAACTGGTTAAAATATGAAGTAGGGAGGGCTACACGGATAGTCTATATACAGAGGCTACAGCGTAGCCGTTACACTATAGTTATCTCCTCTGGAGTTCGTGCTTACACCATGATTTCTTCTGAGAGAGCAGCGCATACGTAATTTCAAACTCTTACTTTAGTTTGTAGGAGTGCAGAGAACCATAGAATTTCAGACATGCCTAAGTTAATACAAATTATCTAGCAGCAGTGATTAGACACGTATGTGCATTCAAATAAACAGGTTTCCTGTGATATGTTTTTTCAGGCTTCTTGAGCAGCAACTATTGGCCTTGGAGAGTTGCAGGGGCATGTTGTTTACTCAAAATGGCCTTTTCAGCCATTGCCCATACATGTTTGTTAGGAGACAGTTAGGGAAGTACAGTCTCTGGATATATCTTGGCGCAGAACGTATTCCATCCTTCTTCTGTGGTGAGCTTTGGCATTATTATCCATAAAAATGAGTTGTTCTCTAACATCATCGAATATAGTAGATGAACAAATGGTTAGATGATATCCGTTGCCTTTCATGATTGATATGATTGCGTACGACGGCCATACATTGTACCTTCAAAATCTATAAAAGTAGTTCCTCTTCTACAGGAAATTCAACTTAAATTAAATAATCAGGCACTCCCGATGGAAAACAAACCACACCACTGCATCTAAAGATAAACAAGGATGAAAACGGAGTTCTGTTGTACTCGTATTTTGAATCACATTCGAATGTGGTGAATGACATCACTAATGAATTAGTAACAGGTGAGTAATTTCAGTCATCAACCATTTCCTTTGAGTATAAGCTCTGTGTCTAGACGCACATACACTCAATAGAGAAAATTCTTTTCAATTCCTATAATTCATGATATCGAATTAATTATTACCTTTGGGTTGAATACATTTAGATAGATTTTTCGTTGAATAATATATCTTCAAGTAACTCATAAAGTATAGTTTTGTCAGTTTGAATAACGAGTTAACTTCGTATTTTTTCAAAAATCATATCGAATGAGTTTCAACATGTAGTTCAATTCAAAACCATCGAATAAAATGTGGATGTTGTAAGTTTCGTCAGTGAGTTCAATGAAATATCTCATTACAAAATATTTATTTCGACTAGATAAACATCTGAACAGTCGTTCATCCACCACATAGAGTCAAAGTTTGACCCTCAGTGGTGACCTCTTTGTTTGCATCGGTTAATGTCATTGTTTTCACTCTTGCATTTTCTTTCAAAATAAACATTTATACCGTGTTTTCCGAAAGTAATGGATAAATTCTATAAAATCGTTGATACAAAAATTGCCAGATACTTGTGGGAAATTTAATGGTCGATCAAGTAACCAAACGACCCTAACTGTCTTTCCTGTACCATCGGGTTAAATGAGAACTTCTCAATTTTTTCTACTCTTGATCATGAATTCAGGAGGCTAGGTGGTGCAAATAGAAGGCTTCTAAAGAGCAGGATATTTAATAAATATGCGGCAATTTTGGTGATTATAGATACTATCAAACAAAATATTACCTCATTAAAAAAGACGATATTTTCGATTGAAAAAATATTTACATCGGGGAACTCAATCATTATCTAATGAAATTGCACTCGTTTATTATCGGACAACTCTTGTATCAACTGTACTTTGAACGGATGCAAATATTCAATAACTTACTAGTTGAAAATAGATGTTTGAAGGTGGTTGAAAATATATGTTCTCGTAAGTTATCTTCAGATAAGTATGTGTAGATACATAATATCAACATTTTTTTCAGCGGAATCATTATTGAGATACGGATATAACTATGAGGAATAACTTATTCAGATTTCTTCGAATAACAAGATTGTCTGAATGGGATGTGGTTGGTGGTCTGGCTATTATTGGCAGAGTTCTATGCAATGTCGGAAATAATAATTTCCGGAATAGATCAGTCTTGAAATGTTGAATTAATTATAAAATTTCATGAAACCAGAACCTGATTGCTTCTAATATCACAAGCAGTAGCTATGTTATTGAATAAACCCACAAACCACTGACAAAAGAATTATGACATTGATTGGACTAATGACGTTCAAAATAATTTTAGCAAAACAGTTTAGGACATCTAAAAAAGTATTATACAGGACATATAGTGAAAGCTATCGATATTATGAACTATTTTATTGAGAATATATCTTGGATGACCATATTTGACTTTATTGAACTTCTGTAAGAACACAGTGTTGAAAAATTTGAATATTGATCTTCCGCGCGAAATTTATTTTAACCTCAATAATATGACGTTTATATAAATGAAAATATTGAAAATACAAATTTGTTGCTAATCTAAGTATTACAATAAATAATGAAATTTGGAACAATCATGAGATACGAATCAATTCAGAGAACTGAGATTATAAAAAAAGGAAGGAAGAAAAAAAATCACATCAAAGGTGCTGCTTCGTTCCCTCCTGTTCATAAAAGAGGACATATGCCTCATCGCTCACAAGTGATTTTGGCGAAATTGGGAACACGTGTGAATCGTTGTATTCATGCCACATGCCACTATATGGGTGTCTGCAATATGTTGTGTAATGCCTGTTGTAAGTAGTACCACTGTGATTTGAAAGTGCATATAGATTATAACGACAAGGAGCCACATTGTCTGCTGCATAATTGCTCATATCTAAGTCATCTGAAAGAAAGTCAATGGAAATATTCAATTTGCCTCTGAATCTTTCCGTTGGAGAGAATCTTTTCAAATGAATTACTAAAATACGGGGAAACATAGATTGATAAGAACTTTGTACATTTTCTTCTTTGCTTGCACCTCGAACACATTGGTTTTTCATCTCCATCCAGAGTTTCCTCTTTTGTGAAGGAATCCAAGCAATGTGACAAACTCAATTGGCCAGTTCTTTGTGGTATGGAAAGAGACAAATTCCAGAAAGGATCGAAGGTTACTTATAAGTGTCCACAGTGTGTGCACTTCATAGTGGATTTTAATTGACCAACGAAATAGTCTACAATCTACGGAATGTTGCTTACATTACGAAAATCGAAGTGAACAAGACATTTAGTAAAAATAAACAATACTTGGAAATGGATAAATAGTGCGCCCCTACAAAACAAACTCGTACGAGTCCTGTTGAAAAAATGAGGTGAATACTGAAATTTCGCAGGCTACGTACATCCTTTTAGCGATATTTCTATTTTCTTATGTTGGTACGTTCGTCTCGAACATATTTTCACAGTTTAAGCTATTTAGCAGATTTTCTGCTATCGACAAAAATTTATCAGAGAATTTGCATACAATTTTGTGTTAAAAATTTAAGTGCTCAAAAACACTTGAAATGTTGACAGTGGCATACGGTGATTGCCCTCTGAGTCATTAAAATGTTTACAAGTGGTGAAAACTTCTCACAGAAGGTCGAAAATACGTGAATGACGACAATTGGAATTGTGGAATGACGTCAATAGCGATCCAGATTTGCTCAAAAGAGTCATTACTGGTGACGAATCATGGGTATAAGATACTGACATCGAAACCAAAGTCCAATAGTCCCAATGGAAGAGCCCAGGAGAGCCAAGACCAAAAAAGCACGCCAAGATCGATCAAATGTCAAGGTTTTGCTCACTGTTTTCTTCAATTACCGTGGCGTAGTGCATCAGGAGTTCTGGTTGTTCGGTCAGTGAGTAGTATTATCTTGACATGCACCGTTTGCGAGAAGCGTTACGAAGAAAACGTCCGGTATTGTGAACAAAAAATCACGGCTTTTGCATAACGATGATGCACTCCACTCGCATTGCTTGTTCGTAATTTTTTGGCCAAAAACAACATTGTAATCATGCCTCAGCCACCGTATTTACCAGATTTGCTCCCCCAGCGACTTTTTTTGTCTCAAGGACGTCGTTTTGCGACATATGAGGAGATAAAAACTTAATCCCTGAGAAAGAACATACCAAAAAGTGCATATCAGAATTGCTTCAAGGATTGGAAAATACGCTGGCACAAGTATATTATATCTAAGGGGAACTACTTTGAAGAGATCAAAATAGAAATTAATGAATAAATAAATATTTGTTGAAAAAAATTAAAATTCACCTTATTTTTTGAACAGAACTCGTACAACATAATCAAAGGAGAGCATGTTTGGATATTGCACGTAAAAAACTCTAAAATCTCGAATTTGTTAATCAACACAATCAAGGCAATTATTACTCATCCAAGCAGGTGTGAAAACAAAACAGTTTTCGGCAATCAGAAAAGCCACAGTTTACGATTTGCCCCGTCTGAAATTTAATGAAGCGAAAAGCCGATAAAAAATAATTTTTCAAAATGGGCAAATAGTCGCCAAAACACACATGTGTAGAAAAAAAGGGGAATGGCGCTAAAGTGGGGTTAAGTCCGAAGAGACAATCTATAAACAACTAAACTCATGGACAGAGAGTTCTATTCTTAGTTTCATACATATCTTTATTAAGACAGTCGTGCTCAGTCTTGTTTTAACCACAACTTAAAGTGTTACAAAAGTGCAATGATTTTGTGGATTTAACCTTGTTTTCTAGTTCAAAAAGTACAGGTGAGAGTTTCTATAATTCTTTAAAGAGCTCTTTCATTTTTATTTCGCGAAAATTCGAATGCACACATTTTGTTGGTATGATTTTGTTGTTTTCGATTTCAAATAGGTAAGTAAATATTGAATCTGTTTAAGCAATATATTCAGTTGGGTAGGTTCTGACGCATTTTTCGAAAATGAAATATAGGTGGATACAATTTCTTAATAACCTCAGTTTTTTTGGTGGGTACAATGTTACCCATTTTCGAAAAATCGGTCTATTTGGTTGAACTTCTCGATGTGTTTGATAAAGCCGTAAGCAGACGAGTATTATAGGATTTGCAATCACTTGAAGTTATTCAATTTTTAAAAATAGTGAAATGGAAAAAAATATGTTTTGAAGGGTTTTCGATAACTCTGCGCTCTGCGGATTTAACAATGTGTCTTTTACAAATTTTTGACTCAAAAATGCTGAGGAATCGATAGTATGAGGATGATTATGAAAAGGAATTAAATATAAGAAATATTTTCGTGGATGGAATAATACAACTTCTGAGTTCAATGTAACAAGCATAATACTTTTTTCAATTTTATGATGACAATTTGGTAGCTTATAATATTGACTGAAAAGCACCTCTATCGAGTTGAATCTCAAGCATAAGTACTACTCACATGTTGTACTATAATAATAGTAATAATCCGATAATATAATGAGAAGTGGTACAAGATATGTATAATTGTAATTGTCAATTCAAATATTTCAATCGTTGAATGTGAAATAAGTCGATACGTATAATTTTGCTTTATCAAAAAGCACCGATTCACAAAAAAATTTGGACCATTTTCAGTAAAAAAGTAGCTTATAAAAAACAATAAAAGTTGGATTAATGCTATAGACCTAAAAAGCGACGAAAATAATGTTGATTTCATTTTTTTTTCGGTAAAAAAAAAGTGAAAAAAGCTTTTTTGTTTTTTGCAAAAAATTGACTTTTCAAAATGACTCAAATTTTATTATTGAATTGAAAAATGTTGTTATAATGTGTATTCATCAATGCTGCAATTGATAGTTCTCGAGTTATTTTGAAGAAAAGGCAATTTTATGCAAAATGCCGCAAAATGCTGTTTTCACATCAAGCTTCATTTTTTCAAAACTAGCCACTTCATGAAGATTTTATGAGTTTAACCAGAAAATACCTTGTTTTCTGCTTAATTCTTGTTGAAATGTTTTGTTTGGGTCTACAGACAGCAGCACCATTCTTTTTGTTTTTTTTATAAACTAGACTTTTACTGAAAATCATTTTTTCGATAAAATAATAACGTTTTGAGTTACTCGCGAAAAACCGCGTGGTTTACAAATTCGAAGAAAAGTTGTTACTTCCTCACGCATATAAGATGAACATTTTTCACGCCCAGAAAAAACTTTATGCAACAAAAGTTGCTTGGAATCAATCTATCCTTTCCCGGAAGTAAATTTAACATTTATTTGTTTTAATAATCACGCGGGTATCTCGAATCACTGTGTAGAAAACATGTTTTAGATTGAAAACACTTCTAAGTCATACTGAATTCATCATCAGAGTGAATCATATGTTGTTAAGTTATAATAATGGTACCCATAGCACGTCTCCAAAACGTCCTTGAAATATGGTCGGTCTTGTTAGTTTCTTGATTTGTGATTTGGACACCTTGGAGACGTACACATTTTTTGAAGGAATATGTAGATTTATCTAACTTACAGGGCCTAAATTTGAAGATTTTACACTATATTCTACTGAATATCTACTACTATCTATTCTACAGAAAATCCCCTCTTGAATGATAATAAAAATAAAATATATGCTAATTTTATTTAGTTCTAACGAATATTTACAGCTTATGAAGTTCATCCGTTCGTTTTATTATATAGGGGTCATTATTATGAATCTTGTGTTATGATTTTTCAAAATATTATCCTTTTTTATAATGGTTTGATGAGTTGTATTGGTTGACTGTGCTGGTACCTAGTATACAGTGATACCCAAAAGTGTGATACAAAACTGGAAGAAAAAAATGAGAAAATGACGGAATCGTGTTTTGGAGTTGAAAAAAATGTTTTTGAACAGAAACTTATGTATATTATTTTTTTTTGACAACATCAATTTACAAACAAAAAATAACTTCCAATGACTTTTTTGCTAGGATAAAAATTAATTAAGTTATGTGACCCTGAAATAATCAAACAAACATAATTTTACACTATAACTGAATGACTCAAAATAAATTCGTATACACCACATTTCGTTGCATGTTTTTCAACTGCTTGAACTATCGTTTATACGGTGATACTGTTTATCTGATTGATTTTTTCCCTCACTATAGTCTTCGAAGCCAAAATGAGCACTTTCCCTTATCACCAGAAATGCAACATTTTTCTCGACGCGCGTTTTACTAACCTAAGTTGACGCCTTCATTTTTCTTCATCTCCTGAAGATGCAAAAATATGGTAAAAGAACTGTGAAGGTATATTGCCACACTTAATTTTCAACGTGCAACATTTCAAAAGTTTCAATAAAACTTTCCTGCCGCGATGTTCAAAAATAGCGAAATTATAACATTTCAAGTAAGTTATCTGACAATGTTTTCGAAACGTCTATTAATTATGTGAAGATATTACTCACTGTAATGTTGATTCAGTTAGGAATTTTGCAATGTTCCAATTTGATAACTCAACAAAATCATTCTTTTGATATTTCATTTCATATACTTTTGCAGCAATGTTTTGCAATGTTCAGTGCTCAGTGGTAGGTATTTATTGATCAACCCTCGTACAATATCTTCTTTAGGCGAATTTTATTCTGAAGATTCGACAAAAATTAACTTGTTGAAGTGAAACTTCTTTACGCGCGCTTGACTTGGGGAGTAAGCTGGTGAATGCGTGACGAAAGCGTTACGAAAAGTGTGATCGGGCGAGACGAACAGAAGTTAAGAGGGAGGTATAAGTGAAAGCGTAACGGGGTCGTTACGAAAAGTGTGATCAGGTGAGGCGAACAGAAGTTGAGAGGGAGGTATAAGTGAATGCGTAACGAGGTCGTTACGAAAAGTGTGATCAGGCGAGGCGAACAGAAGTTGAGAGGGAGGTATAAGTGAAAGCGTAACGAGGGCGTTACTAAAAGTCTGATCGGGCGAGGCGAACAGAAGTTGAGCGAGAGGTATAAGTGAATGTGTAACGAGGGCGTCACGAAAAGTGTGATCAGGCGAGGCGAACAGAAGTTGAGAGGGAGGTATAAGTGAAAGCGTAACGACGGCGTCACTAAAAGTCTGATCGGGCGAGGCGAACAGAAGTTGAGCGAGAGGTATAAGTGAATGCGTAACGAGGGCGTCACGAAAAATGTGATCGGGCGAGGTACGCGGTTGACTTGGGGAGTAAGCTGGTGAATGCATGACGAGAGCGTTACGAAGTGTGATCGGGCGAGGCGAACGGAAGTTGAGAGAGAGAGAGGTCTAAGTTAGTGAAGATTGAAAGAGAGAGAGTTACGTTCCGTATATTACTGTAGTGGCAAGAGAGAGAGGTGGGAGCACACATTTACGGTCGAGTAGGCTCTGAAGAATTAGGAGAAAACTAACATATGTCGCTACTAATTTTAGCAGGAGATTTCAATGTTAATTTCGCGTCCGAAGATAGACAACTCTTGGTAAATTTATATAAGATAAATTAGAACTACAAATGAATAATAACCGAAATGAGCCTATCACAAGACATGGAACAACAATCGATGCAGTTTTCTCTAGATATCTTTCTAATTTTCATGCGAAAACATATGTATCTTTGAAACAACTCTCTCCAAGCAACAGTTTTTCAGCTGTAGTGCGGGAAATGTTTGAAGATTTGAAACCAAATCTTCTCGAAATCGGAAATTTTCAATATTACAGTAGATATAATTTACAATAGTTGCTGTGAAGTTATAAAATTGTTATTCATAGACTATAATTTCTATTTAGTGAATGAATATAAAACTTCAATGTACGCGTATAAATCGTTAGAATTACTAATTTTTTTTTTCATTTCTGAGTTGGTGGTGACAATAATGTTGGCTTATTAGCATTAGAAAATTGCTTTCCATGCATTGCTACAACTTGCAATAAGTATTGTTTCTGTTCCTTATTATAAGTTAAACTCCGATTATGTGATTCCATCAATTGAACTCCTCGTTCAGCAATAACATTTACGATGCGTAATTTTTCAAAAATTGTTAAGCATGTATTATAATCTCTATCAGATTTCCATTGACCTGGATGTAATTTCAGAAATTCAGTAGGAAGTTGACATCGCTCAAATTGTACAAATTTTTACTCATGAAGGAATCAATCTTGACTTTTTTTATATTGACAAGTTTCAAATTTTTAATTTCGCTAGCTTTTTGATTCATTGATTCGATAATTTCAATTTTAATTTCTGAGCTTATATTATCATCGACAAGTGATAAACAAATAAGTTCTTCAGACAAATACCAGAGATAAGTGCTAATTTTTTTTGACGCTGCTCCTGAAATTTTCATATTGGTCGTTTTCTATTCCAATAATTAAAAAAAAATTCTAAATCTTGTCGCGGAGCTTGATTTGACAAAGGCGCACAATATAACATGCTTATATATGCAATAATGTTATAAAAATACAGATATGACGGAGTCCCTGACTTTGTACTCTGCTAAAGAAAAATTGTTTTTGGAAAAGGAAAATTTTCAAGCAATAAATGGCTTTGGAAAGCCATCGTACATGGTGTGTCGGTTCAAAAGTAGTACTTTCCGTGGAACGGTTTCCCAAATACACTGACGCTAGTTCGAGTAAAACTAGAAGTTTGAAAATTAAAATATGCGCGAAAATTTGAATTTTAGTTCATTGATATCATGATTTCATAGAAACTATGGATAAAAATTTATCTATACAAAATGCCGTTTCTAAAATCAACAATTCAATAACTCTGTAGAATGTGTTGTAATAGTAAATAAGGAAGTACTACAAATCATGAAATTAAGAAACAACAACAG